AGTCAGCTGTCCTAAGGCAAGCCATCTTACAAGCTTAACGAGCTTCCTTCCTAGCAAGACGACAGCTAATGAACTGCTATTAATTAACTGCTATATATATTTACCCCCCACCCATGGGGAAAGCTGAAGTCAACTAAGGGGTCAATGATAAATATCGTAAAGCTTGTCAGCAGGGTTAAGAAAATAACGCTGCGTGACTATTTTCAGTAGTCTGGGTGATCTTGTTCGTTCGCCTTGTCTACTTCAATCTAACCAGACCAATTAGATTCACTTTAGGTTGGCAAATCATGAAGAGTTTAGTCGCAATTGCTATTCACCATAACAGATAGAATGTTGCTATTCGGCTTCAAAATTCAGGATTCTCCTGAAAGCCATATTGCCAACAAAATTTGAAGGAATGAGTGCTGAACTGTAAAATACTTCCAGTATTCACCATGAAAACTGGATAATAGCAAAGGCTATATCCTATTGAAGATTGATTTCATAACCATTCATCTGCATAATCACAAACTGCAAGTGGTCATGCTCCCTTCGGAATATTTCTTCTAAAAATAAAATTGGCAAATGACATGTTGTAGTTATGCCCATTTTTAAAACGCGGTATGGATTGTCGGTTGCAAAGAGCAGTTTCAAGGGCCTCATCGTCGACTCAAACATGGTTGAAAGGAATGAAACTCAAGCATACCTAGTTAAGAAACTCGAAATTGAGAGATCGACTTAAAATAACCCACTGCCACATATTTAAACACCACCGACTTATCTCAACAACCCAAATTATAAACCGAAGTGTAGATTTTGTGGCTATTTTCATCTCCGTAAAGATGATCTTTTGTCCAAACAGTGAGGATACAAGGAATAATTCTGACAGAGTATTCAACGATGGCCATATTCGAGCTGCAGAAGAGTTTTTTTTATCTAATTCAACCTTGTCAAGAACATGGCGTACTAGTCACAATGTAGGTTGATGGCGGTCGAAGTCGCCGTGGAACTCTTCCATTAATGGGGTACTTTTAAAGTTGTAGGTTGGCACTTGTTCATACATTACTGTAGTTTTAAAAGAGGCTTGGAAATCTCCTGTTAGTCCCATGCTAGTTGCTGTTATTTTAAAATTACCAAGTATTTATCGTGATGCAGTCCAATTGTTGGGAGCGATGCAAATCAAGAATGACTACAAGGAAAACCGCCTTCATGATTGTTAGGTACCTGATAGGGATATCATTCACTTTTGGGTGAACTGAGTCGACTTGTCCAAAGTTCACGAGGCTAAGATCCAGTGGAGCCTACCAACACATACAAATAAAGGAGAAAATCAAACTATTCACAACTGTGTTCATGGCACCTTCGTTTAAGTTCAAGCTCTTCAAAGCTCATGCTCATGTTCCGCCCAAATATTTGAACTATGACAACAAAAATACCAGTTTTCAGATAGAAGAGAATAAAACTCATGAGAATACCCAAGCCAATTAGATGTTAACTATATTTAATAATGACCTTGGAACGCAATAAAGGGAATATTGCGAACCAAATCAATAGGATATTACTTTCTCAAGTGGGGAGTAGTTAATTGTACATTTTGCTCCAGGTAAAATAATATTTCTGTCTTGACAATGTGAATGGTAAAAATTACCCCACTGTAAATTAACAGTTGTACAGTTAATATCTTCTTTGATTAATAAAAGGTCTACCTTTATTGCAGCTTTGATAGGATCAGCCATTAGGCTATGAACGAAATATGGTCATGTGGTTGAAGGAAAATAGCCATTAACGAATCGAAATTAATCATCAATCACAGAACCCAGAGGAGGTTGAAGATTGTATAAGCTAGTTTCCCACTGTCGAAAATTTCAAAGTTTGATGTGATGGTCAATCAACATATCAAACACAGCGGAGAAAGTGAACCCCGCCATTATTTATTCAAAACTGCATGATCGTAAATAGCGTAAGTCCTCTGAAATTGAAGTGCCATTTAAGGAATTTACGACAACCTCTCAAGTTGATACTCATTGTCACACGTTGTAATTTTTATGCTCTGTCGTATAAGCAGAAATAAAATTATGCACCCCCTCAACAGCCCTAGTCTAATAAGCGTAGTTATTTTGTATTTAGACTTCCAACAGGCTGTTCCATTAGTGATAGCGGACCTTCAATGAGCAGTTTCACGTCACGTTAGTCCCAAGACTTTGCAACATACAATAATATATTTCGAACAGGGATGAAAAAAATGACAAAAGGTTAAACGTTGAAGTTATTGAGACCTGCCCGCCTTCGCCAAATTGAAAGCAAAGAAAGCGGAAATAATTTCAATCAGACAAATAATGAGGAGGGTGATACCAACACCAACTGCTTCGTCACCCACTTTCTCCTGGAAACGAACTCCACATCCCTATGGAATAAAAATTATATATATAATGATTGAAAACGATCTTGACTAATCATAACTTTCTTGAGAAAGTAGTGCACTTACAACCTGGTATTGGTCTGCAACCGCTTGACAATTTGAGGAACTATTTTTGCAACAGAATTGTACTTGATTCCCCTTCCAGTCAGCCGACTTATTACCTCCGCAGCAATGAAGCTAGGAGATTCAAAAAATCACACAAATTTGTTACCCATTATCAACGCTTCTAATGAATAAGAATGGACACTGACCCAATCCTGAATTCCTCTCAGAGACCGCAAGACAGCTTCCGATTTCGTAGACTCCCAGAGATGAATGCTGTCAATAAAAAACTGGCTAAATGTTTCAGCTGTCTATAGAAAAGAATGATTGGCACTAACTGTACGTTACCATATCCTCATAGACTATCGAAATTATACCGGCAACAATCTCGGTTAGTATAACCATTATAAGAAGGAAAGCAAACTAGAAGATGATGTTACAGAGGTAATGAAATGAGACATTACTATTCTAAGGATATGCTTACTAACAAAGACTGCTCCCAAAAAGCCGAAGACTGATACAGAGAAGAGTAGAACTCCGAGTACTATGATAAATATTGGTAAAGCATGAACACTGGTGATGATAATTCCTCCATTAAGTTTGTAGTAAATAAAACCGCCAAAGCCCATGCACATTATTCCGGTCGCCTAAATAAACAAGAACATCACGGATTAAACAAAATTTTCCATGGATTTAACTGAAATCGTGAGTAAATGCGTACAAGGGATACAATTGTGCTAACAATCAGCACAAATCTCATACATTTTGTAATGCAGGAGCGTGTCATTTGGTGGGGGCCACGGTTATATGTTAAGGGTTCACCATGAACGAACTGAAAATTTATATCCGAGTGTGTTCAATTGTGATTGGACAAGGCAGTCTGTGGGAGCCTGCTATTGGTCAAGTGTTCGCTCAGACCAGGAATAGTGACATTCAAAGGCCTTGAAAGCAATAAACTCACCTGACCAATAAATATAATCGCGGAATTCCAGATGATGTATTGAGCTACTTGAGATCGATGTCCTTAAAACAATACCATTAAAACGATTAATCAAAGTTTTTATGGACTTACGAATCAGACCATGAATTTATAGGCATATCGTTACATTTAAATAATGAGGGGTAAAGATATTGGAAGAATTAAGTCATGAAAACTAGAAAACCACAATAAAAGGGAAGTTCATCGAAAATCGAACTACCATCTCCTCATTTCAACTGGTCATATTTTTTGAAATTTTCCGTTAAAATTTAATAAGAAATATTAGCAATTATAAACATTATAATGATTTAAACATATTAATTCATGTACCGAATGGAAGAATTGCCCCTTTAGAGAGATTTTACTTTCCTTTTGCCATCTTGATTGAGGTTCAATGCTCAAAGCGTACTAATGCACTATCATAGGTCGTGAAATGTATTTATTTATATCAAATGGCAGGCGTTTTGATAGCTACCATAGCCCTTTAGTTGAATTCAGGAATCACAGAGGAGAAGGAACATCAATGTGAAAAAAAGTTGAGAGGTAGTAAAAAGATGAGGTGAGTACTGTATAAGTGGCCGACTATGACATACAGTGGGGTCAAGGTAGTGTGAAGTTAGAAGTGAACTGACGGTCTATAGATTTTTTTGCCGAATGAGTATACGTTGGCCAGGGTGCACCACATGGAGGTAAGTCTATCGTAAAATGTATAAAAGACAGAGCTTGAGCAAAAGTATTTTGCTTTCCTCTTGTTACGCATCTTCACTACTACAACGAAATAGCGAAGAGAGACCACCGGGAACAAGGAAACAATTCAAGGGGAGGGTGGTAGGGTGAGTATGTTCGTAGCCATTTATATGGACGATTGTGCAACACAAAGGAGCTAGAGTGGGGGGGGGGTGGAAATGTCTTAACGGCCAACCTGATAAACCATGGTACAGTGTGCCCCTGAATTTGATCGATCACAGATTTTGGGTTGGATTTCGCTAAGATTAATGTTTTTCAATGCTCTTCAGAAATTTGTAGTCAAACCGAGAGACTGAATGTGAGAGTATTCGGTATAACCCCAAATATTTTCAAAAATCAAAATGAAATAGGCTAAAATATTTTTTATTTAAAAATTTAAGCCAAATGGTCATTTTAACTGAGGGTCATAATGGGAGGATCGTTTTGGCTATGCCAAAAAGTTGTGATTTCAAGGGCAGACGCAAAGGTGTTTAATCTTCAGTAGGACAAGAAGTGCACCCGCATTTGAAGGCAAAGTTTCCCTTTAGCCTCAGCACTCGATTTATATCATTTTCCCGATCCATTGTACATTTTTAATTGCTTTTGAAAATCTCTGATAGGCGATGACATTGTCTTCTTTTACATTTGATTATGCTCATTGTAGTTATCTGTTATTTTGAAATAAGCTTTGATTAATTATTTCTTCGAATTTACCCCGTTACGTCTGTGTTGGTGTTAATAATTAGTCTTAACCATGTCGATTCATTTAAATATTGCTCTAATTGTTTATAATAATCCCTTACATTTACGATAATGTAAAATTCCCATTCGCAACATTTGATTTTTACTCTTCATATGTAGTTATTTTAAAATAGAGTTTATTTCAGCCTCCTTTTGTTTTTATTATCCGTAGTTAACTTTCCCTAATATAATTTGTCCTTTGATTGTTTACTTTTAATAATTGCTTTGTTTTTCAAATTATATCGCCGTTCATCTTTACTGTTAGAACTTTGTGTTATGCGCATTGTTGTTGCCTAACCTTTGATCGAATACGACAAAGTAATTGTTTTTATTGTCGGGGAGGGTATTTTTGTTGATGAGTAAGTTTAAAATTTGTTTGTTGTTTATAAAATTCGAGTTAACAATAACCCAAATAAAATTTATAACTTATTTTATTAAAATAATGTTACAAGTTCTGTTTGAATTCAAACCATGTACTATTAATTTACGTGTAATTGTTAATACCCTTAAGCAACCAATTGAACATAACAAAGTAAACTGTTGTCGTTGATTTATTTTCAACATTTATGCTGTTCGATTGTTCGCTTATGCTGTGGCGGATCTCTGCACTAATAAGCCTTGACTTATGTTCCGTAATCTCTGTGGCAAGTTCTTTTAGTTTGGAATGCCTAATGGGTTTAGCTAATCCACCTCGACTATATAGAGGACACAGACGTATGGCGTAGAACACGTTTAATTTAGTTATGTGTCACTGACGATGAGCTATGTCATTATATACAATTACGGCAATGTTGACAATATCTTGACTATTAATAGATGAGTGGTTAAGAGGTCTCTGTAATTGTGACCTCAATTGTTTCCCAGTGCAATTAGCATCACGGCGGCACTTTCCGAAATGTTCGAGAGTACAGGGAATCCTTTGATCCAGCCAGGTGCGCGCTGTCCTCCCCTCGATGCCAATTCCTTGAATTTTTAATAGCCTAGTTAAAATTACTCGATTTTCATATTAGATCCAACAGCTTTTTATTAGATATTTTGAGCCAAAATAGATGAGCCACAGCTGGAATAGTTGACTTCTCAGAGGGAAGTAAAACATGATACGACCGAATACAAATTGGACTTACAATTTTAATTTATTCCTACTTGAGTTCTGAGATGCCTAAGATCGTGGTAGTTTGTTAATATCACGAAAGATCATAAGGCTTTCTAAGCCCATAGTAAAAATTATTGGAGTTTGCGTGATCGACCATGATATCTAAGTAGTCGGTTAGTATGCTTTAGATAAAGTGCGCAATAATTGGTTCGATGCAATTCAGATGTTTAATAATTAAATTCGTTGGTGGGAAACTCAAGATAATCGTTGGGGGACACATTGTAGCGTCTTCATCTCCTAATTAAAGAAGGGAAGATTCTTTCAAACTTCAAATTTGCTCGATATAACATTTTACGTACCATAAATGCGATATGAGAAAATATCAACAGTTGTTTAAATTTGATTTCAACAGATGTGGAGTCATTTTGAATATTATTGCTGTGCAGATGTGTTTCTAAATGTAACGGGGCAGTATCTGTGACAAGATTTTCAATAAACTCATCTAGACGTAGCAAAGATAATTTTATTCAAGGGTATTGAGGTAAAAGTCAATGTACTTTCACAGAGAATGCCACTGCAGAGCAGAGTCAAACTTCAGGTGAGTTTGTTTTAGGCACTGGTCACCTACTAGGAGACAGTTTTCAAGCTGTTTCTATCTTTTCAATACTCTCTGTGCCAATAGACTGAAGCATTATATTTGGTATACCTTTTCAGCCCATATGGAAGTACATTTGAGGCCAAACATGATGGGAAACAGTTGATTGCTCCAAAACCAAATGTCAGAAAAACTATAATACTTACTCTACTTATTAAATTGAGTAGTAATTTTGTTTTGGGGGTGCGGTATTATCCACATTACAATGAAGTATATTTTTTCTAATGAACACACACCTATGCCAATAGCTTTAGAGACCACGCTTATACCCTGTTTGGTATATTAGCATAAAGCAAACAAAACAGTCAAAACACTTTTCAGTTCTTTATCGAATGATTTGATGAATCAGTTCAACTGTGGTAGGACTGGCTATTCTGAAGTAGGTGAAAATAGTCTTATCTTCACTTCTCTTACGCTTTCCTCTAAAATGTTACGAACCGATTTTAAACTTGTTTTTTCCCTATCACACTGAAGTGCTAAACATTTAGAAAATAATGCTCCAATTCGGAACTAAAGAATAAGAGCATTAGTTGCTGACTGATAAGACATGGCGACTTCGAAAAACATATCATAACGCCAAAAAACCCCATTCCAACCTCACAGCACCATGTGTTCAAAAGACCTTTACTATTTGTGGTTGAAAATGTGCATTGCCAGTAAGAAGTTAATAAGTAATTTCTTACAAAAAATTTACATAAACAAAATTTACAAATCTCATTTTTGATTCTAGTGCCCCACTAGTATCGTATTTTTTTATATAAATGGTAGAAAGATACATAGGTTTTGGTATATCAATTCTCCTCAAAGCTGTAGAATAGTTCGTTCAAGATCCGTCGTCACCACCGTGTAAGATCGCGTTATAAACACGGATCAATATCGAATGTTAAAGAGTGGCCATACAAGGACGCATCTACCAAGGTAATCGGTTTAATAATGTTAAGTTAAAATTTAAGGAAACACAAGAATCTATGAACTAGCAGGGAAAATAAAGAATGAGGACTTTCTAAATTATAATTACTATTATTATTGTTAATAAAGTTCCTGACACAGCAAAAGAAATCATAATAAATTTGATCGTACGAATTAGAGGAATAATAAACAATTCCAATGAGCCTTGATTGGTATGAAGGAAATTTAGTTATGCCACGTGATAGATTTGGTTAGTTACTACTGGTGGGCGAATTTTGCGTTGTTTCATCTAATACAGAGACCAAGTCAACCATTTGCGCTGCAGTTAATGGACTAAATTATTTAAAATAAAATATAAATGGTAATTTCAACTCTATGCTTTATGATTTTAATGGGGATCGAAGTGTAGAAAAGAAATGTCAAGTCGTCAAAACTTTTTGAATAATGTACCTCCCCCCCAGGTGACATAAATCGTTATTTAATACGGAAAATTTCATACTTTAATAGACAAAGAGACTAACGTGTAAATTTCCTATTGGGTAATTTGTATCTAATATGCGATTTGTGTGCATGCCGTGGACACTGATCATGGACTTGTCTATTTGATAAAAAGCACCCAATTATCTTGCCAACTCCTAAACTTGTACAGATGAATCTCAAAATGACAAAACGGTTTGTATTTTGTAAGGAACAATACAGCAATAAAGAATCATTGATCACACTTTTCATACACCCTTTTCTATTTCTTAAAGGAAGCTTGTTGTTAATATATGTTGGAAGAAATCAAACGTACAGACTTCGGATTATTATCATTATTATTATTATTTTCTTTCATTCGAAGTTCAAATTGTCATTTGATAATCAAGAATATGAACATACGGTGTTAGGGGTTACAGATACTGCTGGGCTATTACAATCACAGGAGAAGAATATATTGAACAGCAATGATTAAGGGTTGAGAGAGGGAGGAAGGGGGGGGAGGGGAGGTGGGAAGGGAACAAATGAGAAAAAAGAGATAGATAATCGAGGGATAGAAAGGATATGGCGCCACTCCAATAGACTTGCGATCTCCGTGTCCACATTTTTTTGCGTGTGAATTATGATTTACAAGGAAAGAGGAAAGCACAATTGGAAAATCAATATTTGCAAACTGTGTTAATTAAACAGAATTAAACTAAGGACAAAAGCATAAATATAAATTTTAATAAACAGAATACAATAATATCAGTCAGCAATGTTACGCTGGAGAATGTTTTCTTCAAATATTTCAATTCAAGATATTACCACTCAGCGGAATAAAGATATTCTATTCATTTTTTCGCCTTTTTGATCCACAGAATTTAGGAGTTCCCAGAAATTCTCTTTGCCAAAATGAAGCCAGAGACCACTGATATGACTTCAATGAGACAGAAAATGGAGAGGACAATACCAATAATAACAGCATTTTCTTGAAGTGCATCGTAGATGGCTGACCCACATCCCTAAAACAGTGAGAAAGCAGATTGGCTTTAATTTGTTTGCTGGACAATTATGAGCAAACATATTTACTCGACGGACTTACGATGGTGAAAGTAGTGTTACCGCAGTTTTCTCCAGATTTGCAACAGTATTTGATTTGGTCTCCATTCCAGTCCACAGGTCCAGCTCCACCGCAGCAATTAAACTTGAGGTCAATAAAAGTTTAACACATTAGCGACATTAGGAAACATTAAACGATTGGAAAATGCTCGACCAACACTTCACTTCACTTACACTATTCTGAATTCTCCTAATAGACCACAATATGGACTCTTTAGACGTTTTTTTGTACTTCTTAATTAAGTCTTGCATAAACTTTGTAACATGTTGATCAATCTAGAGAAAAAATCAATAATGAATTTGATTAGCCTACCTTTTCCTTGTAAACAATTACGCATATACCAGCGGCCAATTGTACAATGATGAAAAATATAAGGAGGAATGCAAACTGGAAAGGTTAATTTTTAAAACTGAAAGAGCTAATTTACCAATCTTAGGAGAGAGGGCATTTTAAACATAGCTCCAATGAAACCGGGCAAAGAAATCAAGAAGATAAGAATGCCAGCAATGATTAGAAAAAGGGGGATGGTGTGAATATCCGTGACTCCATCAGTTCCAGATAAACGGGCGAAAATGTAACTACCCAAACCGATGGATAGTAAACCGGAAATCTGCGTTTAATATGTATCTTCAGGGAATATGGGAGAAACTTACTAAAACAAAGAAGTTGGTGACTATGAGGATGAGTTGAAGCAACTTCACTCCAACTGTTAGCTTCATTTTTTTCTTCGCTTCCTAAAGACAATTGAACAATTATACTACATGAAGATTTAGTTCGCTTACTTTTATACTAGCATATATTCATGAGATTAACTGGCTGATCAGAAGAGAGAAACCATTCCTTTTCGGTTAAATGTGAGCACTTTTACTTTCTCCTGCATCACAAGCAAAATTTTTCCACCTAACTCAAAGGAGCCTCTCATCATCTTGACAACTTGAACTTTAAATGATTAACAGTACATTATGCTGTAAAAAAGGTATGACTAAGCTGGCAGATGGGATTGAAATAGTTGTCATGCTGCATCAGTGCACTTTTAGCACATAGAATCATTTTCATTCGGTAATGGATTGAGTATGCCTACTGATAAGCAGAATATTCGTGCTATTAAACATCTGACAGTGAGTCTGTGACAGCTGAGCTCATCCTTGAAACATTTAATTGAAGTAAAGTAATAGATTGACAGACCTTACATCCGAGGGGATGGAGTGTGCGATAGACTTACCTCCTGGTGGTGCACCCTGGGCAACGTATACTCATACGGCAAAAAAGTCTATTAACTGGCAGTTGACTTCTGACTTCAAACTACCATACTATTAACTGGCAGTTGACTTCTCACTTCAAACTACCATCTATTAACCGGCAGTTGACTTCTGACTTCAAACTACCATGAGTACACCCTGGGCAACGTATACTCATGCGACAAAAAAGTCTAAACTGGTGCACCCTGGGCAACGTATACACGGCAAAAGAGTCCGTGGTGCACCCTGGGCAACGTACACTCACACCTTACCTCCACGTGGTGCACCCTGGGCAACGTATTCTCATTCGGCTACCTCCACGTGGTGCACCCTGGGCAATGTATACTCATACACCTCCACGTGGTGCACCCTGGGCAACGTATACTCACGATAGACTTACCTCCAGGTGGTGCACCCTGGACAACGTATACTCAAACGGCACGTGGTGCACCCTGGGCAACGTATACTCATACGGCTCCACGTGGTGCACCCTGGGCAACGTTTACTCATACGGCTCCACGTGGTGCACCCTGGGCAACGTATACTCATAAGGCACCACGTGGTGCACCCTGGGCAACGTGTACTCATACGGCAAGTAAGTCTATTAACTGGCAGTTGACTTCTGAGTTCAAGCTATCTTACCTCCACGTGGCGCACCCTGGGCAATGTATACTACACCTTACCTCCACGTGGTGCACCCTGGGCAACGTATTCTCATTCGGCTACCTCCACGTGGTGCACCCTGGGCAATGTATACTCATACACCTCCACGTGGTGCACCCTGGGCAACGTATACTCACGATAGACTTACCTCCAGGTGGTGCACCCTGGACAACGTATACTCAAACGGCACGTGGTGCACCCTGGGCAACGTATACTCATACGGCTCCACGTGGTGCACCCTGGGCAACGTTTACTCATACGGCTCCACGTGGTGCACCCTGGGCAACGTATACTCATAAGGCACACGTGGTGCACCCTGGGCAACGTATACTCATACGGCAAACAAACTGGTGCACCCTGGGCAACGTATACACGGCAAAAGAGTCCGTGGTGCACCCTGGGCAACGTACACTCACACCTTACCTCCACGTGGTGCACCCTGGGCAACGTATTCTCATTCGGCTACCTCCACGTGGTGCACCCTGGGCAATGTATACTCATACACCTCCACGTGGTGCACCCTGGGCAACGTATACTCACGATAGACTTACCTCCAGGTGGTGCACCCTGGACAACGTATACTCAAACGGCACGTGGTGCACCCTGGGCAACGTATACTCATACGGCTCCACGTGGTGCACCCTGGGCAACGTTTACTCATACGGCTCCACGTGGTGCACCCTGGGCAACGTATACTCATAAGGCACCACGTGGTGCACCCTGGGCAACGTGTACTCATACGGCAAGTAAGTCTATCACGTGGTGCACCCTGGGCAACGTATATTCATACGGCAAAAACTGGTGCACCCTGGGCAACGTATACACGTGGTGCACCCTGGGCAACGTATCCACATATGGCAAAAGGTACCTCCACGTGGTGCACCCTGGCCAACGTATAATCATACGGTCTTACCTCCACGTGGCGCACCCTGGGCAATGTATACTACACCTTACCTCCACGTGGTGCACCCTGGGCAACGTATTCTCATTCGGCTTACCTCCGTGGTGCACCCTGGGCAATGTATATTTAGACTTACCTCCACGTGGTGCACCCTGGGCACCGTATACTCATACGGCAAAAAAGTCTATTAACCGGCAGTTGTTGCGATAGACTTACCTCCACGCGGTGCACCCTGGGCAACCCACTCATACGGCAAAAAAGTCTATTAACCGGCAGTTGACTTATCACTTCCATACGGCTACCTCCACGTGGTGCACCCTGGGCAACGTGTACTTACAACCTCCATGTGGTGCACCCTGGGCAACGTATACTTATGCGGAAAAAAGTCTATTGACTGGTAGTTGACTTCTCACTTCAAACTACCATCACCCCACTGTATAGTTGACCACTGACTTCAAACTACCATGACCCCACTGTATGCCTTGACTTCTGACTTCAAACTACCATGACCCCACTGTATGTTACAAAGTATACTCATACGGCAAAAAGTCTATAAACCGGCAGTGGACTTCTGACTTCAAACTACCCTCACCCCACTATATGTCACAACTTCTCACTTCAAACTACCATCACCCCACTGTATGTCATTGTGTATGCGCATACGGCAAAAAAGTCTATAAACCGGCAGTTGATCTAACCCTAACACGGCAAAAAGTCTATAAACCGGCAGTTGACCTCTGACTTCAAACTACCATGACCCCACTGTATGTCATATTTGGGCAACAGACCTCATACGGCAAAAAGTCTATAAACCGCTGGGCAACGTATACTCATACGGCAAAAAAGTCTATTAAAGGCAGTTGACTTCTAACTTCAAACTACCATGACCCCATTGTGGCAGTTGACTTCTCACTTCAAACTACCATCACCCCATTGACGGGCAACGTATACTCATACGGCAAACAAGTCTATAAACCAATGGGCAACGTATACTCAAACGGCATACCTCCACGTGGTGCACCCTGGGCAACGTGTACTTACAACCTCCATGTGGTGCACCCTGGGCAACGTATACTTATGCGGAAAAAAGTCTATTGACTGGTACTTCAAACTGCCCACGTGGTGCACCCTGGGCAACGTATACTCATACGGCAAACAAACGTGGTGCACCCTGGGCAACGCATACTCATACGGCAAAATGTGGTGCACCCTGGGCAACGTATACTCATAAGGCAAAAAGATCCCTATTAACCGGCAGTTGACTTCTGACTTCAAACTACCATACTATTAACTGGCAGTTGACTTCTCACTTCAAACTACCATCTATTAACCGGCAGTTGACTTCTGACTTCAAACTACCATGAGTACACCCTGGGCAACGTATACTCATGCGACAAAAAAGTCTAAACTGGTGCACCCTGGGCAACGTATACACGGCAAAAGAGTCCGTGGTGCACCCTGGGCAACGTACACTCACACCTTACCTCCACGTGGTGCACCCTGGGCAACGTATTCTCATTCGGCTACCTCCACGTGGTGCACCCTGGGCAATGTATACTCATACACCTCCACGTGGTGCACCCTGGGCAACGTATACTCACGATAGACTTACCTCCAGGTGGTGCACCCTGGACAACGTATACTCAAACGGCACGTGGTGCACCCTGGGCAACGTATACTCATACGGCTCCACGTGGTGCACCCTGGGCAACGTTTACTCATACGGCTCCACGTGGTGCACCCTGGGCAACGTATACTCATAAGGCACCACGTGGTGCACCCTGGGCAACGTGTACTCATACGGCAAGTAAGTCTATCACGTGGTGCACCCTGGGCAACGTATACTCATACGGCAAACAAACTGGTGCACCCTGGGCAACGTATACACGGCAAAAGAGTCCGGGTGCACCCTGGGCAACGTATACTCATACAGCAAAAATGTGGTGCACCCTGGGCAACGTATACTCATACGGCAAAAAAGTCTATTAACTGGCAGTTGACTTCTGACTTCAAACTACCATAATCCCACTGGATGCCATATTCCACCACATCCACAGTACTCATCTATACTATTTTTAATATTCGACCCCTTTCACAGTACTCATCTTACCTTTTTAAATCTGTCTGTCTGTCTCTTTTACATCTGTGAATCGCTCTTCATTTCCCCTGTCGAAATTCGCCCCCTTTCACAGTACTCATCTTACCTTTTTTATAACTTTGTGTCATATCTGTCTGTCTCTTTTACGTCTGTGAATCATTATTCTGTCATCTGTCTGCCTCTTTTACATCCGTGAATCGCTCTTCTGTTTCCCTGTCTGCCTCTTTTACATCTGTGAAACGCTCTTCTGTTCTGTCTGTCTCTTTTACATCTGTGAATCATTATTCTGTCCCCTCTCTCGACTTTTGTCTCTTTGATGTTCCTTCTCTTCTTTATGAAGCCCGAAGTTAGCTGAATGGCTAATGATAACTATCAAAACGCCTGCCATT